TACTTTTGCTGGGTATTAAAGAAGTACAAAGTGTTAAAATATCATCTCTAGATTCAATTTACTTACATCGGCTTTTTATCCTTTGTTTGGACAATTTTTATCTGCCACAGAAATTAACAGTTTTATATGAGTCATATAAGTAATACGCTGTTTTTTAAGAATATCTGTTGCATTGGTACGAAAGAAAAGTCAGTGAAATAATTTTTGAGTTATTCGTCTATGGCACTTTTTATTAGCTAGTTGGTATTTTAATTCATTTGAAAACACTTCACGATATGTATTAATAATCAAATGATGTAGGCAATATATTTGATGACCACAGGTGTTATTTGAATTCAGCAGGTGCTCGGTTATACAGCAAAATCAACACATTAACACTTTCACAGCCAATAATTGTATGCAAAATGATTTCAAAAAATACTATATAACATATGTACATCTAAATGAACATGTGTTTACGCAGTGAATGAAACGATTGACCTCAATTTAAATCATTGATTTCTAGGCAAGATTTTCTAATATGAATTTCATCTTATATACTTGTATTTTTCGTTTGATAACAAAGTTCTTTAAAGAAATTATTGCTTAAATTTCTAGTTTCTCTAGTTTTGTATCTATTAATTATTATTCCTTCAATCGGAGTATAATATAAATTCTGTTATATTGTATCTCAACTCTTCCCCGTGATTGAAACCTAACAAAAAATTCATTAGAAGATATTGTCGGTACAATGATATACGGTTGAAAAAAAATAAAAAAATTACAAAATTGCGGCATTTAAAAAAAGTTGAATTTTACCCAAAATTTTGGTCGTTGTTGACCTGCCAAAATTCGATTTTTGATCAGATTAATGACTGGTCATTGTATTGAGTACTATATACGGAACATTTGATATTGATCAGATCATTTTTCTCTGGGTAATCGCTAAAGCAAATTCGAAAAATGCTGCTTCTAGAAAAATTCGTTTAAAGATAAACTAATTGAACTGAACGACTAAATTTTAGAAGGCTGTAACTCAAAAACTGTGTATAAAATTTTAGTTTGTTCTTTTATAGGTATAACGTAATGAAATTTGGAAAAAATGCAAATCGATTTCTTTAATACTTATTAGTGGTGACTGTTAACATACTATTTGTATGTGTCGAATCGAACACCTTAAAGATTTAAAAAAATGTTCAGAAAAAACGTGTAACTTTGTGATTTTACTTTGTGCTTAAATTATTATAAATTTTGTTTGTTTGTTTGGGCAAGGGATATTGTTTCATCATAAAAATTGGGTTTTGTCAAAAATAGTTTTTTTTTTTTTTAAAGCAGAACCGATGCCCCAACACATTTATTTGTTATATTTACCTAAATGTAAATTAAATACAAAACAACGTTAACTTCCTTCAAGAAAAGCCATAATGTATGGGTTAAAAAACAGAGAATAAAAAATAACAACTAATTGATTTGTAGACGCGTTAAGCAAAGCGTCCGAATAAGTAACCGTACAGATGGTGGGCTTTTACACATGTTCACACTCATAGCCATACCCATATTGTTGTGCTTAACTCGATAAGCTGTATTGACTTCATGGTGTTGCCTAACACAAATGTGTAATAAAATCAATGAGATAAACACCTGCTTAACTTGACATATCTTTGATGATTAGATTAACGCCAATAATTAGGCATTATAATGCTCATGAAAAGTTTAAATTTGATTTGCAAGAAATTACATATTTTCCAGTTTAAATTTGAAACTCGCAAAGTGAACGTGAAGTTGTCAAAATGCCGGATATTGGTCAAAAGCGGTTTGGAGTGGCGGTACTCTTAATAACGATAGGCATCCTTGCAGGTATACAAGTGTAAAATGGCAGTGAAAGTGATTTATTTCTTAGCAAAATATATTATATTGTATACTTGTTTATTAATTTTTTATATATGCACGCTTGAAATTAAAATGTGAACTTTCTATAGCATCGGAATATATCGCTGTTTTCGGATAAATGGTAGTTCTGATTAAGATTCAGATTGAGAGAAAATGCATCCCCTAAAAATTTAAACTCAACTCTTAAATCTGGTGCAATGTGACATATATAAGGATATTTATATTTAAATTTTAGAAAATTAGTCGATTGAGGCTTAGAAATATCGGTGTAAAGTTAAAATCGAATTATGTGGCGGGACTCTCAAATCTACACCAATCCCTTCTTTTGTGAAACCCTTTTTCATAATTGAATATCGTTCGATTCGCATCCCGGGCAATATTAGAAGCACTTATGAATCATGATTTATGAAAACCATGTATTGTAGAATCAGTTTTTAATGTAAGAACTCGTATGAGTTTTTTGGATCTTCCTATTTCAAGCACTGAGTTGTTTTGCTCATGCCTTGGATATAATGATGTTACTACCTTAAATCATTTTCCATACTAAATAGAAGTCTTCGCTTTGGAATTAAGTCTGCATGGTCCAATGTTTTTAGTTGTGGATGAGATATTTCTCATAGTTAACACAATTGTTTTTATTAATGAAAGATGACTTTGACTTAAACAACTGGATTTTAACTTATTCAGAATGGAGATGTTTCCATGAAATAATAATAAATAAATAAATGTTCTATTTACTAATAATATAAAAGTTCTAAACATCTGTTTGACAGTGGGAATTTTTTACATCTACTATAGAAGTTGAATGTAGAAGTAAACCAATGAATATACATGTGTATACTGATAAGCCGGTGATATTTATAACTTCGCAAACAAGGAGATTGGGAATCATGAACGAAAAGCTATATTTCTCTATAGACTCTCTAACCATGTTTGGATATCGCAATGATGTCGCTCTCAACTCCTATATGTATTAATACAAATTCCAACCGTATTGTTGGATTACGAAACCAGAGGGATATAATTTCATACCGTCCAGAAAACCCGTGTCTAATGGGAGTTGAGGTATTTTTGAACTTTTGGTAGATTAATTAAGGTTAGATTAATTAAGAATATAACCAAATTTATAAATCAAATATAAAATCAATTATTTGATATTTTTTATTGTTAGATAGTAGATTCCACTCTCTATAAATATACTTGTAATATCAACCATGCAAATTGGCTTTACAAGTATCGAGTTGATAAGCGAAATATATTTAAACATTATCTGCTTCACAGAGTCACGGACTTATTGCAATGGCCTCGTCTGCAAAGATATTAGTGAAAGCAATTTTTACATTAACGTTTATACCAATCCTGATAAGTGAATTATTTTATGGCTTTCTAAATGGCTATATGAACATGTAGCAACAATGTGAATAGCTTATTTATTGTACATACGTATAACCGAATGAATATGTTCGAACGCCGATGTGTACACACATGTCTATTTCAGCGTTACATATTACCTTTGACCTATTGATTTTAACATTCGTGTAGGTATTATATGTAGCATTATGGCGCATTCTCTCTATAGTACAAAAAGAATTAGGGCTGAGGTGATTGAATCACGCGTTATAAAGTGTTTTTGTTTTTATCTAGCGAAAATAGCTTAACCGAAATTTTTATTATAAACCATTATATATTATATAATGTTTATGATTTACATCGAGTGTAAGCAAAGCACACTAACAGTGACTCAGTGCATACCATAGAATTCGATATATACTGAAAAGTGGTGATGGATTTTCCTGTCTATCAAGAATACCCATTTTTCGTTCATGACCTAAATAACTAATGTGGTTTTTATCGAACTCACTAAAAAAAATATTCGTACGTAATTGTCGTTATCTCTATTTTTATCTTGATGATGTATGCTCTCAAGTTATTGTAAATAATTTAAAATCATTGGTTGAATGTAATTTAAAAAAAAGTCTTGAATTCTACTATGTATGCAATATAATATTAAAGCTTAAAATAGCTTTAGCGACCGCTTCATTTAATTAAGCAGGGAGTGAGATTATAAATGGATCTTCAGGAAATCCACCAGCCGCCAGAGATGGCGGTAAATTTGAGGCTATATCTTGCGTAAAATCAAGACACTCACCAAAAAGTAGTAAACTAATTAGACTCTAATAGTTTATTCAAAATGTCCCCTCATCTCAAAGAAATTTCGATGGTATCGATTGAACGGGACTTAATAATGGCCTTGCCATTAACGATGAAAAGAAGAACTCTATTTATTCTCAATATAAATCTACAAACCGACCGACATCAATTTTTATAATCCACTCGAAAATATCTTTTGATTTCTTCTTCAGCATTCAAATAAGGCTCAGAAATAATGTTAAACTAACGTTATGTAAACTAACTGAACCAAAATCGCTTAACCTCTTCAGAGAATTATGATTTGATTAGCTTGATGAGAAAGCCCCTTTGTATTTAATTTAACTCATAAACTACTCTCACCATGTAATATCTTGCATTGTGCTAGATGATTCTTAATGGACAGAAGTTTTAAATTTTCTAAAGCGAAGCATAAATCCCCGGTTGTCGGTTTTTTGTCATACAAATCAGAAATGTCTTAAGGCAGTTAAAATCTATTCTAATAGTTAATTTGCTAAGTTCGTCCAAGGTATGTCTGCCATGATGCTTCAACGTCAGTCTGGTGAAAGCTAGATAGTGGAGGAGAAAGTGTAGATGTTTCTATGTCTGGTGAAAGCTAGATAGTGGAGGGAAAGTGTAGATGTTTCTACCTTGTCTTACTTGGGACAACTGTGTCGGATATGATTTTTAGCATCAAGATTTTATAAAATACTCCCTAAACTCATATTTAATGTGAAAAAAAGATTTTACTTCCTCGGAAAGACTTTTCTATTTAAAATATAACGTCGTGATCCTTTTGTTTCATCATTTTATTTGGGGAAAATCGGGGTTACTCGTCTGTTCTTGTCTGTTATTCTACGCTAACATCTTCTAACTACATAATAATATTGTTAAAATTTTCAACTAAGTTACTAAAATTTAAATTCTACAAAACTATTAATGTTTTTATTATCTGACTACTTTTATATCATCTTCAATCATAGTAACCGATGCATTAATCTGGCCATGCGCTTCGAGTGATGATTGCACAGCCGTAAATTCAACATGCTCCTCAGGGACGGCAAATTGTGAATGTGACAGTTTTGAAACTGTTTTCTCTACCGACTTGACAACATGTCTGAAGACGTCACTAATTGGTGACCAATGCGAAGACACAGTTCAGTGCAATCTTATGCCATCGGGAGCCAGTTGTAAATCCGGGGTCTGCGACTGCGCCGATGGATACACTTATGTTGGTGGACGTTGTAGAATATTGAATGGCTTGAATGGTACCTGTGAAACGGTAAAACGGCAAGAAATTGGAAGTTACAGAAAGAAAAGAGAAATGAACTTTTTTCATTACAGGATAATGATTGCCTTTTCGGTTATGACCGCGAATCAGTTGCCTGTCTCGACAATGTTTGTAAATGTGCTGACGGTTATTATCTTAGGAGTGGAAACATATGTCGTCGTAAATCAATGAGTAAGTGTATTTTCTAGTTATAATTATTAAAAGTGGTTCAAAAAAAATATGTTTTCAGAAATTGGCGATGCCTGTGTCGTGCATACGGACTGTGAAGATTTAGGAACAAATGTGCGGTGCACTAGTTTGAGTTGTGTCGAGGTATCACAAAGCGATTCGGAATCGTCAAAAACCGTTTTAGATGCCCGAACCAATACACCGACACTCACAGGCCACACAAATACAAACGCAGGCACGACCAGCACAAACACCCATACGAAAACTGATGGTGGCAACGAGAAATCACCCTCGTCAGACGGGACATCACAACTCTCGAAGTCATCGAGATCAACTAGCGGTACCAGTAAAGATACTTTAGCATTGGTGAATGGTCGTAGTGATTTGACTGACGATACCGATAACGAGACGAGGCAAGAGGAGGCCAGTGGTAACGAACAGAAGCGGCGATCACGTGAAATCGCCGTACAAACAAGTATCGATGCTTTTGAGTTGAAACCATTGGCACCGTTAGTTAAGAATGTCGGTACTGGCACCACATCCAGCACAAGCAGTCGACGTTACTCACGCTATAGACGTCGTCCGTCTGCATTCCGCTACGATGATGAGGATAAGACTTTCTCGACGATATCGAATACTGATGATGATGGGGAGGAAAAGTTTTGTAAGTATTTACACATTTTTGTGGACAGATTTAAAAACTTTATAAATGAAATATGTATGCTTAAATTAGAAAATTAACTAAAGGAGCAGATAATAAAATTAATCGTGACATCAAGTCAGTCAGTTTAGTTCAAAAAAAAAATGGGAACCTAATAAATAGGCACATTCAGAGAGTTCATTTCTCTAAACATTTGCTAAAGTAACGTAATCAAAACTTCATTAAAATAACTTACATTTTCTCTCAATGATACATGTCTACGTATTACTTTTCTCTCAATTAGATGGTAGCTCTTGCACAGAGAATGGTAAATTGTGTGCGGGACTTCCGCATTCGATTTGCTCAAACAACATTTGCTTCTGTCGCTCTGGGTATTATCCAAGTAATGGAAAATGCTTTGCAGGTGAGTTGGCAAAAAATTTGCTAATAATTTTCATACTACATACATAAAATTATCTTTCAGAGCTTGGCGAGATAGCGGAGAGTGCCAACGAATGTGAGCACACATTCGATTCATTATCCAAAAAATGTATTTGCCAAAGTAATTACTTCTACGATCGTAGTTTACGCTCTTGCCGAAAACGTAAGCACCATCTTAATTAAAAATAAGTAGTTTTGTTAATATATATTAATGCGGCAAAAAAAAAGTATTAACAAAGATATATCACCCGCAATTTAGAGTAATAGTATTAAGTAAAAGCCGAAATCAATTATTCTCCAGTAGAATATCATAGAGAGCATCCATCACTTTATTAGGATGAAATTAATTTGCAGTACGTACAGTAAGTAATAATTCGGTTTCCTCGTTATCTGCATACGGGAAGAATTTCAAACTTTTATCAAAAAAAAGCTTTTTAAAGGCCAACTAGGTTAAAAAACTAACGAAAAGTTCTTTAATCATTTCTTAGTAAAGTTGCAGTATTATTCTAACTCACTTATGTTCCAGAAACCAAAATTTTTATGTATATACAAGTAGTTGTTCCAACAAATATTTACTCATCTCTTTCGTATTTCATCAAATCCATCATAGCAATCCAATATACCTTATCGTGTACCTCGGACAGTCAATGTAGTCCATTCGGCGCCGCCTATTGTCCTACGATAATTCCAAGACGTTGTACCTGTGAGGAATACGCACAGTATGATGAATTGCAACAGTTGTGCGTTTATAAACAGGGACTCGGCGAATTCTGTGAAACGAATGAGGCCTGTAGTACGGTGGCGAACACGGTATGCCTAAATAGTTTCTGTGCATGTAAGGAGAATTTCCTCGAAAGCAATAATACTTGTGTACCAGGTGGGTTGAGGTTAAAAGTTTTGAAATAAAAATAAAAAATAAATTAAATCTTACATCTGTAACTACATAGGTGTCGGCGCTAATTGCGATGCCGACGTAGAGTGTGGAATAGAAAACTCGGTTTGTGATTTCACCTCACCGACAAGTGAGGAGATAGAAAAATCTTGCCAATGCAAAAAAGGCTATGTGCATTTTAAGGATGAGTGTCTTAAGGAGGGTAAGTTGAAGCACAGTGATCACTGTGGAACCATAGAACTGGTTGTTTAAATTTATGTCATCTATTTTAACTCAAATAGCTGAGGAACTTGACGATGAGTGCATTGAAACGGAGCAATGTAAACCATTGTTGGGTATCTGTATCGATAAGAAATGTTCCTGCACCTCCGAACAGCATTTTAAATCAGGGCGTTGTGAGCAAAAGAAAGGTAACATTCATATTTGTATTATTTTCAATTATTTTCGAGAGTTCTAACAAATTTGCGTCTGTTTCAGTTCTTGGTGATAGTTGTGCCCGGTCTACTGAATGTTTCGTTGAAAAAGACCCGGAAAACGTGGAATGCCGTAATTCGGTTTGTCAATGTAAGCTTGGTTATCAAGCGAACGATGTACAGAAGACTTGTATACGTGTGGTGTCCAGTACTAAAAGTAAGTAAACTACCATATTCAATACTCGTGAGGTTATTTGGACCACAAGGTCTTAATTTTAAATATAGCTACGCGTATGCTAATGGGAAGGTCTCGACTTGTACTCCCTTAGTGATTGTTATTGCTCTTACCAGTTTTCTCAAAAGGTATTGCAGAACGTCATAGTCTTTACAACTAAACTTTTAATAGATCGTGTTCGCATATTTTTCGATTGGATTTCAATAATACTCCCATCAGGGTGCTCTGTAACTAAAATATCTCTATCTTCATCAAAATTAATAATGAGATCTTTCTACTTGTAGTAGCTTACGATCCACTATCTTAATTAATTAATTAAATCTAATCCAGATATAGATCAGTAACACGATGCGAACTGAATTACGTGTGACTATCTGTCCATCTCTCTGTCCGTGCAAGCGATATGATTTTTTTCACTTTACAGTTTCTAAATAACGCACCAATGAAGTTCTCCGAGTAAAACTTAGCACAAATAGTGCCTTTGTGGTATGCTTATCACGTCTAAAAATTGTCAAAACCGGACCCGATGCCAAAAGTGGACATCAGAGCTTATGGTTAACTTTTTAGCAAATATATTGGTCAATCTGTGAACTATATTTAGTGAGAGTTTTTTGCTGATCTGTACATGATTTTATACCCGCTACAGTGGGCATAAACCTTAACCAAATATGAAGTTCTGGGAAAATTGAGAGTGCAAGTGCATAAAGTGCAAAGAGATTAAGTGTTTGATTAGAAACGAATTTCAGGAATATTTCCTTGAACAAAATATTTTATTGAACTTAATTTTAATGGAAAAATTTTTTAACAAACTCTTCTTTTCAGATTCTTCCGGAAGGCCAAGTGCTCTTAAAATAATAACATTCCTATTAATAGGAGCAGCTTTCTTAATAACAAGTGCCGCTATTAAACAGGCTTATTATGATTAAATTTCAAATACGGTAATAATATGCTAATTTAATTAGGAGCGTAAATTATTTCTTTAAAATTATTCGGCCACAAAATGAAGAAACAAACAAAAACGTAACACGTAATTAAACATGTAAATTAATAAACAAACATATTTTAATGGCATGCATAGATATTTAATATAAATAATTAAAATTTTTGTAATTTTCGCTACAAGCAAAACTTCAAACACCGGCCTGAAAATACTACTATTTAACATTCCTAAATTTGATTTATCAAAACAACAAACTACACTTACAAAAAGAAATTGAAAAAAATTATGTATAAAGTATTACGAACTAACACACGAAGTATAAGTACACAAAAACTAAAGAAACCATTAATTAACGAAAGCAAATTTCCAAAAGCAATACTTAATGATTACATAATTTTTGCAATTACTCGTATTTAACTTATTAATGATTAAGAAGATTTTAAGTCAATCATGTAAATTACAAAAGGAAATTATTTTTTAAATCTAAGATTCTTAAGATTCTGCGTAAGTTATTCATATGCACATACATACATACATAAATATAACATTTGTCATATCTGGGTGCATATTAGTTATAGTAATACAACTGACAAATTTGTTTTAGCCTAAGGTTATAGTTAATAAAATTTTTGAACTTATTGCCAAAAACTACAAAGTAATTTGTTATTTAATACTTTTATATTATGTATAGGTTGGAGAAGTCTGAAAATATGATACTCGTAAAGGTTTGCACATAGACCTATTTAGTTATAGAAAACTACATCAGCATATTATAATTTTCTTCTTATGGCCTTTATATTGCTTCGGAAGCTTTTGCTGATTGCAAAATCCTTCGACACGGAACTTTCCCAACGAAGAGAAGGCCTTATTATTACCAGAAAGTTTCCGGAAATTGTCATTTAATCTGCCCGCGCAGAATATTTTTTAGCACTTTTTTGTTAAGTTGATAGCACTGCCCTTAATTTCAATGCTAAAAATGAGCGCGATCTGTCAACCAGTTTGTTTGCAGCAGCTGTTGAAATCAGTCGACCCCGGTAGTGTTTTGCGATTTTTACAATGGAAAAAAATATTGAACAAAGAATTTGCATTAAATTTTGTGTTTCGAACCAAATTTTGTGTGAGGAATCGTTGCGAATGTTAGAAAAGACTTATGGTGAATCTATTCTATCGAAAACCCAAGGCTACGACTGGTACAAAGCCTTTAAGGATGGTCGAGAAACCGTCGATGACATGACTTGTTCCGGTCGTCATTCGACGTCTAGCAATGACATTAACATCAAAAAAGTGAAGGAAATCGTCATTTGAGTGTTAGAGAGATAGCACGTAAACTAAACCTCTCAAATATTATTATATTAAATATTTAAAGAACGGCTCCACCAATTTCAACAAAATTCCGTACATAAGATTATCCATCTTTTTGTTACGTGTGTGTGTTGTACTCCTATATACGCGTATTTCGTTTTCAAATGCCTTACGATTCCTTCCCTTTACAGTGTATAAATTGAGAGTCAATGACATCAATAAACTTTGCACAAATAATGCCTTTCAAGTATTACATCCCACGTCCAACAATTGTCCAAATCAGACCATAAGCTTAATATAAAGATTGTCGCAATATATCGGTTAATGAAAGTCAGATATAATTTCATTTATACAAATTAAAATATTAATTAATTTCTTTATAGCGTCATGAAGTAACTATTGAAGAAATATACAACAAAGTAAAAGTTGATTGTAGCCATTAGTTTAAACGTGTATGTAAACGGAATGTTTGTATATAATATAATCCCCTGTAAACATTTGACACTATTAGATTTATTATTTTAAGGAAATGGACTGCAACACGTGTTAGAAAATTAGTCAAGGTCATAGGTCACAATAACGGTGTGTGTAGCAGGTCCATGCTAAAAGTTATGACGGTTTTCCGATAAATACACTGAAAGGAAATTATTAGTTAGATGCGTTATTTTCGGTTTAAGAATAACTTGTTATAAATCAATTAAAAAATGCAGACTCTTTTGGTCTCATAAGAAACTTAAAAACTCTCGGTTAATTCAAGATATTTCCATGTGCAGTTGAGATGACAGCCCTTATTTTTTAATACCCTTTTATTAGCTTGGGTTGTATGTGTGTAATGGAATCTTAGAGCTCAATTTTCACCGGTTTTCAGAAGTCTGATCAACTTGAAACTTTGCAGACGTGTCAAGAACCGATGACAATGCACAAATTTGATAACAGTTTCCCATTATTTTAAAGGTGGGCGTAACCACGCCCCTAAATGGTTTAATGTATGTATCCGCTAAAGCTAACTCAACCAAATTTGCTGAGAGGAAGTCCTTTTGGCCCTTTTTCATACGCTGTGAAAATGGGTAAAATCACATAATAACCACGCCCACTGCCCACATAACAGTTATGTTAAAATATACTAAAAGTGCGATAACTGACGAAATAAATGCGCCATAAGCATTAATTTTCAGAAATAAGATGGTAGGGAAGAGCTTTATAGGAGGAGGTTTAAAATTTCCTTTAAAGGGTGTTTTTTTAGTTTTTTAAACTATTAATTATTTAAAAAACTGTGTATATAATGGGAGATGAAAAAACATTGTATATTTCTCTATTATAATTCCGTGAACAAAACCCTGCAGTTACTACACCTACATATGTACATATCATATTCTCGTATAGAGTGGGAATGCTATAATTAGTATAAGATGACTTTAACCTAAAATCACCAGAATATAATGTTCTATTTTTTCGTTATAAAGACACATATTTTTAAATTTATTATATAATATTTGTATTCTACTTTTCTAAAATATTTAATTGATTTTTAGTTGTCTTACCTCAGAAATACTTTTGGTATGCAAGATTATCACTAGATTTTAATATCATGTTTCACCAACTCAACTACCCATAATTTTGATACATGTGAAGTCGAATAAACTATGTACATAAAAGTGGCCTATATAGCTAAAGAAGTAAGAATATCATTAAATGAAAAAATATATTATATTTGCGCCTCGTGTGAATTTATTAAACAGTTCAAGATATGTTTAAGAAATTTAGTTTTAACGATGTAAGCTCAATTTTAATATTAAACCTATATCTTAAATTCCCACTGGGAAGGCAAGCTGATATTTTTAGTTTGGTAGATATACAAAATTACTAAGCGGGGTGTGCATGTAGTATATGCATCTATTTGACTAACTACATACATTTGCCGGCACATATTTTTATTTGTTGTTATATATGTTATATGTATATGGTGCAATAACATGAATTTGACTTTCGATAGTAATCACGCAATAGTTATGACATTAGAGCGTCAGGAAACTACAATTAAACGTTTTTTCCTTTTTTTTTACTTAAAAAAATTATTATGTATTCTCCCTTCAGCCATTCTTTTTTTTATTGAAAATGCCTTCTTTGGCTTTCTTGACTATGCTATGACGTCACAATGCGGTGTCCTGCGAAGTTAAGTCGTCATTGACGATTCACCAATTAATTATTACACAGTTTTCATGCAACTAAGTTATTTTATATACATATGTATGTATTACATATATATATGAGTATATATCTACATTCAAGGATACGTGAGCGCCGTAGTAAATATTGCCACTAAATAAATTCAATCACGCAATTCGACCAATGCCAGCATAAAGTAATTGTTGAAGAAAGCTCGTGAGTGTCGGTAGTTTAATTGTTGGGCAAAGGAATTTCACTTCATCAAACAATATTTGGGTAGCTCTCTTTACCGGTAATTGGTTCAAAAGTATATTGTGTAATGCGATTTAGTATGCTTTACATTCGTTTATATTGGTGTAGGTAGCAAATAATCAGATTGAGCAATAATTATCGCTCTGATATATTTGCCAATGTCTAGACATTTAGGCAATGAAACCTTAATTATTTTTCATTTTATTAGCGTGTTTAATGCTTTAACTTAATTTTTATATGTACAACAGCAGGCAATATAAATGCAATTAATGTTAGAAAAATATGTCAAAGTATAGTCAAGCAATATATGTACTTGACATAGTAATTGTAATATTAGAAAAACATGTGGAATGATTCTCGTCACGTCCTTAAAAAAACATTTCCCAGATTGGTAAAACTTTTTTTATGTTTGTGAATTTTGATATCCATATGTCAATTAGACTGTGTTTGGCATCTGTTTGTTTATGACTGTTTGAAAATTTGTCGAACTTTTTTTGGCTCATGCAAGTGCTCCATCTACGTCTGTTAATGACGATAATTGGTTATTTTATTCCCGATGATTGCAATAGGCCTCCTAAAGGCCAAGGTGCGTTGCCAGACATCCACTCTACCTACCAAACGGCGATAGTATCGAAAAATTCAAAGGAACAGTGCTGTCATCAGAGAGAGAGAACAGAAGATCTCAACAGCTTTTATGGATTAACTGAATACTGTTAATGGTTTTGGTTAATGTTTTAGGTTCGAAACGAGTCCATGCTAAACTTGTACCAGAAGACCTGCGTCTTTGGTAAAAACTACATATACAAGTAGGTGGAAAAAGAGCTGCTTGACAAAGTAACTGAGAATCCTGGAGTAGTTCAAATAAACAACGGTTTCCAAAATAGGTAAGTCTCCTTTAAATGCATAATTTCGTTAATTGAAGATGTGTCCTTTATTACAGTTTTTACAACATTATATAACCTCTTAAAAGCTCTCAGCTTTTTGTCGAAACTAACAAAATAATAAAAACTGTTGGTTACCCGAGTGTTATTTTTCACACAATATCGTAAGTTTAATCGAAATTTGAAAAAATTCTATTCAGTCACGCTTCAAACAGCTTCAAAAACCTCAATTTGTATTGCGTTAATAAAACCATTAATCACTAGCAAGAAAATAATAAAAGAATCGTATAGCAAGATGTCATGCTTGTGCCAATATTTTGTGACATCAAAAAATCGCAAGTTCATTGGTCACAGCACGGACGGCAGTGACCTCTCAGTGTTTACACAAAATCCACTCGCACTAACGAAGGAAGAGCCCAAGCGGGAGTAAGTAGCCAACAATTTATGTGCTAATTACTTCACTTCCTTCAATAAACCTATTTTTGGTTACGCAAAATTCAGTGAAGTCACCAAATTGAACGAAGAAGTCTCTGCTACAGAATTAGCTGCGGCCAAGGCAGAAATTTGGGTACTCAAAAAACATCTCAATGAAGCACAAATCTCTGTGGAGAATTTGGAAAATCTTGTACGCACAATTATACTGAAACAGAATGAGCTATTGGGCGAAATGTACGAATTGAAAAATCAGAATTACGAGTTGCAAGAGGAATGTCGCATGCAACGCGACTATCAAATGATGGAACGAAATGCTATGATGCGTGAAATGCACGAGATTAAAACGCTGCTCGGCGATCGCACGCGATTACTGGTATTACCATAAATGTATACATGACATTTTGAATATTAACAAAATTATTACATTTTTCTTTTAGGAGGACACTGTTGCACGTAATTCAGAGTTGACTTCCGCTCTGCAGGACGCTAACGAAAAAATATATATGATGGGTATGAAGTTTTTGAAATTGAAAGCATCGCGTTCGAAACACGTAAATGCCGCACAGACTACATCGGGTAGTAATACTGAACGTTCGAATTCGGGTTGATATGCTGGAATTTGTATATAATATACATGACACCACTTTGCTTCAAATTGTCCGTTGTTGTACAAATGTTTATTTTACTATGTCTTTATATTTTAACAAATATTTTTGATAATAAAAAAGGCTGGAGTGATAAATCTATTTATACATACCTGCGTGTATACATTTTTATTTGTGAGAAAGGTAAGGCATAAAATAGGGCATAAATGAAGTATACCATCTGATCAAATCTGACCCAGATAAATAATATCTAAATAAATATCTTAATTATAGCCTTCAAAATAGAATTCTGAGCAAATATAAGCCGAATTTCTCGGCTAAGATGAAATCACATGGAATCAGATAAGGAAAAGGAGTGTAAACTATGTGAAATCCTTTTGAATAACTACTCATATTTTAAAATGCTAAGATAATACAAATACTACCATATAAGGAAAGGTAGATCGGACCACATATTAGAAAGTTTGTACAGAAATTCTTAAATTGGGTGCACCCGATCCAGTTCTTCCTTACAAATTATTTTAAAAATTTTATTTTTATTTAATTAAAAAGCTTTAAATTTATTTATAAGTTTTAAAACTCATGATCAGTAACAGAACGTTCCAATTGCTTCAAAATGTTAGTGAAAATGTTTTAAAGCCAACTACTCGATCAGAGCAGCGCTGTCACCAGCTGCTTGCTATGCCTACTTCCAATTTGAGTATTTTTTCATGAATATTAAAGTTGTTTTTTAAGAAAACTCGCCGACGTTTTAAGATTATGTTGAAACTTACATGATGAAGAAACAATATTTCTAGACACATAAAGGATGTTTACATTTTCATTCACTGGTACAAATTTTCGCCTCTGCCTGCAAAGCACTTATTATATTTTCTACTAAAATAACTCAGATCGTCAATATTTAGCACATAACATTCTGTTACTTATAAAATATCAAGAGAAATCACAATTTTCATTTACTTTTCGCAAGCGTGCTGAAAGCAATTGCACGCCAATTGAAATAGCGGCGGACACTAACGAATGCTTGGGTTGTATTTACAGTGATAGATTGTGATTAGTGATATTCACAATAAAAGTGAAAATGTTTGCAAAAAATTAAAAATAATTGAAATTACAAAAAAATAAGAAAAATATTAAATATAATTTATACACATGTATGGTATATACTTAATTAAATTTAGGAATATATGTTTTAATACAAAGTTTGTAACTCAACTAAAAATAAATGTATTTTATTTAAAATTCATATCGTCCTCTCAATATATCAAGCCCTCTACTATTCTCAAACAACATTAAACGTACCTTCATAATAATATTACTAGTTTTATTAAAAATATAATATTTAAGTTCATTGGCAATATTATTTCTAGATATCACACAATTTGCAATATGAATGCCTCTAATAATATTTTCGTAATCAGTAACTCCAAAGAACTGATGGTGGGAAGACGGCGAAGGCAGGAAAGCGCATTGAAAAGTGATGCCGGATTTGCTCACAGTTAATTAAATTACAAAGCGACCAGACAAATTTAGCGTACATTTACTGGGTTCGGCTAAAAACTAACTAGATTTAGTCTTTGATTTCTTTTTCTTAATAAGATTATGTGATTACAAGTATTTAACATTCAAGTTTGAAATTAAAGTCATTAAATAGTAATACCAAATATCATTTTTGAGATATTAATTTAACAATTCGTCATATTTTCGTCGAAAATAATGCTTAAAGTCCTAATACATTATACTCTCTGATTGATTTATTTTGTTAATTATTATAAATATTATTAATTTAATTGCATAGTGTGTACACTAACAGTTGGTTTTTTTCCTTTTCTCTTACCGGTGTACCGGCAACTCTTTTCTTCCTATTGCATTATCCAGTTTCCGCCGCCATTTCAAACGTCGCGCATTTGCTTCCGATTGGCTTGTGAGAATTTTTGTGAAAATTATTAATTTTTCACTGAAAATTTATTAAATTAGTAATTATTTTAAATATAAACAACAGCTAAATGTTTTTAGTCTAAAATATGCAAAACATTTGCACATTCATTGCTTTACAAACTTGTGCAAGCGAATTAAAGAAGTTGTTGTTGTTTCGGGCAGCAAGGAAAGTCTTATTAATGTGTAGCAGTCAGAATTACACAACTGTGCTTCCGGTATGCATTTCAGTCCCCAATTTAATAGCTAAAAGTGATTCTTTTAATACTTCAATATGATTAAAAATGTATCATTAAGAAAAAACGTTAAATTCGGTTGCACCGATTACCCTTCACAAATACAAAACTTCCTTAAAGAATTGGTTTTAATCTGTCAGTTTGTATGGCAGCTATATGCTATAGTGGTCCGATCTGAACTGTTTCTTGACAGGTTGCACCGTTGACTTGGATAATAAAACATGCCAAATTTCTTGAAAATATCTAGTCAAATACAAAAGTTTTCATACAAGCACTTGATTCCGGTCGTACAGTTTGTACAGCATATATACATATACAAGTTTATGTGTAATAGTGATCCGATAGATAGATCGATGTCTGAAAATTTGAGGGACTAGTTTGTATGTATACAGATAGACGGACGAACAGATGGACACGGCTAAATCGACTCTGATCTGCTATAGGTACTGGAATTATGACCTAACTGTTATTTTATTGCAAAGAAATACATATAGAAAGGAAACCTGAAGGGGTATTAAACGGTAACCAGAATTTAAGGCCGTTGTCTAAATCAACAGGGACTGGAAATTTATTAACTTTTAACTAACACGTTATTATGTTATTAATTAATCTATAAGTACATACGAGTATATATGTAACTACATATAATTTAATATATTTGTTGCAAAAATTTAAATCCGCGTAAAGAACTATCCTGGCTGGTGTTCTGTTCTTTAGTACAATTTGCGAATATATTGTTCAGATCGGGCTACTGTAGCATATAGTTGCCATACAAACTGACCGATCAAAATAAAGTTTTAAAGTATTTAAACTGTTTTATTTGTGAAGGGTGTCATAGCTTCGGTGCAACTGAAATTATCATTTTTTCTTGTTTTCGATAATTTTTTTTAAATTTGTGTTTGGCTAATTATCAATCCCCAGCCTTACCTTTCAGTTATGTGAGCTTCCCTTACCTGCATCAACTTTATTTCGGTTGATGCGGCACACATTAGTGAAATGGTTGCAATGATTACTTACTTAAATTGTCTCCGAATGACAAATAAAAGACGACACATTAGCGTTTTGGACTTTTATTGAAAACAAGGTACGAAAAAATGTTCACATACATACATACATTAAAATCACGGTTGAACATAAACTACAATACGATTATTTCATTAACATTTTCATTTTTAATATGTTTTGTGTTTATCTCTACATGTCTATAAATGAATGCAGATATGAAATATGTTTAGCATATGTATAACCATGTAACCAGAGCAATTTAACAGGGTTACCAAATAATTTTATCGCATTTTAAATCAGATGTCGCAAATTACTTTTCGAAGCTTATTAGAACTACTTTCAAGCAGTATTCAAAAAAATATATGTTGCTATGTTAACGTATTATTTCTCTACAGTATCCTTTATTTTGATCTTGTCATTCGCTTTATTCTATGTAATTATGGTACTGTCATATGGGCTTTGGAAAGATGATTTATGCCTGCTCAAAACATTACTAATCATAAATCGTTCCTAGACTTTTCCAATTGCACACTTTTTACCACAATTTTAGTCATGCTCCTGATGGTGTAAGCAATCCTTGTGGAGCTTTAAAATATAAATCCTTTAAGTACGAGTAGACCGATTTAACCAAAGTGCTTCTTAGTGCTAGTGATAAAAAATTACTATAAAAATTTAGCTTCGTTTTTGAAACGCTCCAAATTCAAGCCTCTAGATTAGAATATCTTCTTAACGTTCAGGAATTCTAGAAATTCTGAGACAATTATCAATTTCCTGGTGTGTGTATCCTTAGAAGGAATGAACATTCAATGGGTGTTAAAATTATAGATAACAAAATGCGGCAAAAGCCTAGATATGATTTAGAGATGTTATAAAAAAAGAAAAGACATTCTATACCTTATAATCTAGATGATTTTCATCTAAATAGTTAAGTCAGTTATCAACCACTTGAAGAAAATATTAAAGGTATTCACACCAGCTTTGTTAATTCTTTAGTCGTTATTTGGTAGTTTTTTTGTGTATTTGTTGTTGTAAAATTAACAAATTATCGTTCTACCGAGTAACGAAGTACCAGTCTGACAAGCTTGATAATTTTTTCGTTACTTGGTAACATCAAATTAGTTGTTGGTTTTGCATCGCTGACTAAAAAGTTCATTTGATTCATTGCGAAAAAGTACATTTGCTGCTCGCTACAAATAATTTTAGACAAATACTTCAAAATAAGTAATTAATAAAATTGAATCAGCTATTTTGGAACACAATTTACCACACTACTGAGACAGAGCAACAAGTATGTTTACAGTTAAGTGTTTTAACGACGTAATAACTAACGAATTACCAGATTAACATTTTCGGTCTGAATATCCCTATTGTTATAACTTCAACGGAGGCGTATACATAACCAGAACGAGCTAAATCTGTATCCGGCTTAGAATGACAACAACGACTATGAACTGTCGCATTTGACTCATTCGGTATAGAACAAAGCTTTGTCTAAGCACAGTTTGGTACTCTGGCGGCTCTAACGCCTATCTACGATAGTATATTATAAGCAAAATAATATTTTAATTAAACATACAATATTCTAGCATCAAAACTTAATCACATTTTACAAGCTCTGGTTATACACTTATGTACTAAATATAGAATCACTTATGTTAAGGTGCACCTAATAATGCGCTTATATCTGGGAATAATTTTTCTATTATCTAAGGTACAAATGGCAAATCAAAAAAATTTATTGATTCAGATGGCAAGGCATAACCGCTTAGCTTGAATTGAGACTATCCGCACAAAACTTTCCAAAATTGAGTTAAGCTGTTTTCCTTCTCGCCACCATTGAAATCGTTTAAAACGAACGCGTGTGTTTATGCAAGTAAACCTTTTTATTAATTTATTATTATTTATAACAAACTACGGTGTAGAATTACAACTAGCAAGTGCTTAAGTGTTTTCAGAAATGTTGCCGGTGAGTTGAGTGCTATAGTGACAATAGTTCTGCTTGAGATTAAGACCAATTCCAGATGATCACTGTACTATTTAGTATTGTAAAATCCGAGTGTGTGCATTGCGTAGATTTTGTTTTTTTATTTCGTGTATTATTTCTTCTAATTTTACATATAAAGTTGAATTTAAGGGAACCTTAGTGATAAGGCAGATAAACTTGGCGGTGGTATTAATGTTATGAATTTGACTATAAGACATCAATGATAGACATAAACGAGTATACTTTACAATTTTCATTATTCTTACACTTAAATATAACTGCAGTTAGGTATGTATGTAGAGCATTAAGGTGTATACAAGTAAATAAACTTAAACTATATATCATGTAAGAGGCACGACAGTTTGTGACACACAGTAAAATCGATATTTATGTATATAAAACCAGTGATACTTATAATTATATATGTATATGCCAGTTGGTTTGAGTTGAGGTTTGTTTATTTAAGTTGAATAAGCTTTTTCATATATTTTGATATTATAATAAAAAAGATCTGGTAACGCTCACAAATTACACATGTATATGTGTATATAACTCTCTTCAGTGTGCAGTGCTGCCATATAATTATTTATGTAAACAATCACACTTACTATATTTGAGTAAGATAATTGACCATATACTTTCTAATGTGTAGCTTCTAGTTGAATGTTTTGACTCAAAACATATGTAAATATGTCTATGTGCTTTAACTAAGTATTCAAAATATTTAACATCAAAAGTTAAAGTGAACTTAAAGTTAGAAAAAATAGTGATAAAACTCTCTTTAGCTCCTCTGCTGTCGGTCGACCGTTTAGAAATGCGGCTTCATGCGTGCATAGACAATAAACGGCGCCACCGTGGAGAGAAGCGACAACAAAATATTTGCAATTGTTTGTAGCGAAGCTGTAAGAAGTCAGAATTATCTTCATTACAATTCTTTATTCACAAAAAATTTTCATGTGCTACTCACCGCCGCTGCAAATGTCGCGCAAAACATCTTCGAAGAATCCACTCTCGTTGTCGCAGAGGCATAATTTAGTTTTGGAAATGAATTTCGATACACCAATTGTACGATTAAGACTCTCGAATTGACAAACCAAGCCGTCCTCACATTCATGGCTACTGGTGCATTTGTGACGTAGACCTGGAAGTGATATTATTAGTGATTAGTTAGTCGAAGGAATTGTAAATCCATAGCTATTTTTAATTTATTATTGTGATTGCCGCTATACTCTAATTGAGAGATAATTGAGAAGAAAGGACAGAACAAAATTTTCGCAATATTCACGTCACTAAAATAGTTGGTTTTTTCGGTTTCGCTAAGTACCTTCAGAGATATTGTTAGAGTATCTGAACTCAGCAACATTTAACTTACGTTTAGCTAGATTGTTTTGTTATTTAAATTTTTTTTTATATCAATAGATTACACTTGTGAGCCCACGAATTAAAATATAAAATACATCTTAAGAAGAGATCTACATACATCTTACTAAGGGATGTTCATTAGTGATATGATTGAGAAGCCTCAATTTAGTTAAAGAACTGCTTCGTGAAACCTGTAGAAGGTATACAATAGATACTTGTTGTAAAGCAATTGGTTCTTTCCAGTCAGATATAAATTGTTTAAATGCTTACAAGCATTTTCGTCTCTCTTTTATCCAAGATACTCGTAAATAATGATAGGAATGTTAAGGTGCTCTTCATTAGAGATATTACGTCATGTTAACTCCATTTGACAAGCTTTTAAGCCTTGATTTCATTCACACTATTGAAGTATCTAAAAATCTTTAATGAGATAACAAACATTTCCCAAATATCTTCGGTCGAAATGTCATCTGATTTCTTTGGTTGCGAGAACACATCGGTTGCACCCTTGAAACAGATAACTAGCTACAATTCTTACATGCGATAGAATGCAGCGATCTGGTAACTTCAGAAAACAAAAAATTATAACCTTTCCTCAGAGCTATTAATATGAGACCCAATCATATTGGTCATAGAATTTTATTCGTCATCACCTTGATCCCACTTTCCTTGATTATAATAAGTAGCTACTTGTATTCGGTCTTATGAGCTGAATTTCTTTAAATACAAGAAAAAACGTTAACTTCTTCTGCACCGAAGCAAGAGCATCTTTTAGAGCATACAAGGGTATAAAGAAATCTGTGTCTTGATTTTGACTGCTCAGTTTGAATAGGAGCTATTTATATGCTATAGTGGTCCGGTATAGCCGAAGTTTAATTTTGGATGTTAAAAACTTTGTGGTGAACTTCATACACCTTGTTCAGGGTATAAAAAGCTTTTTTAAAGTAAATAAAAAATTATTAAAAATTCATTGTTTGAGCCACTAAAACAGTTCTACCTTTGATAACACTTTTCTATAGTGGTTTTGTTGCACTAGATATAAGATCGGTTGTGGATATATTTTTGGTTACACATTGGTTTTTTCAGATTTGGTCGCGTTTATTTCAAAATTTTTATTTTCATTTTAAATTAGAAAAATCGAAAAACATGAAACAAAATAGCAGTTATATTTATGTAAGATTGTTTTTTTAAAATAAAGCTGCATCGAAGTGAACAGAGAGACAAATATCGAAAACATATGTTTTATTCCAAAAACAAAAAACCCATTTTATGAGCTTTTTTATAATTTTCTAGTACGCCATTTTTTCTAGTAGTAATCTACCATTGTGTGGCGATGCAATCAACATTGATAACTTTCTTTCGTCATTTTTAGATACTGATTGAGCCCGCTCTGTTTGTTTCTCACTATATATTCGAACATTTATCCAGATGACTGTAGATATATGTATGTAGTTTAGCTTGATACTCAAATATGCTCCTGGAGTTTTACAGTTTGCCAGCATATTTTGCACAATTTCTTCATAATCTGGTATTTAATGGAAGGAAATTTTCCAGAACAGTAATAACTTTGATAAAATCCGTATATTTCAGTAATTTTTGTATCCAACATTCCAGCTTTCAAATTTTCCATACTAAGTTCAGAAATTTTTTACAAATATCACGTCCAACGTTTTGAAAAATTGTTTTATCATTACTAACTTGGTCACGTAATAAATCACTGAGTTCATTTTGAGAAAGTAACTTTGGTGTAGAAATTTCACACTCTCATTAACATCCATTAGTGAACTGTACCGATATCGGGCTTTTTGGCGTCATCATTGTTTCTAAATAGTCCATGCAGATTACTATTCAATCAATTGCGAGATATTTATTTTGTGTACTATAATTCTAGCTGAGGTATTACACGTTTAGTAAAACCTTAAAACTTGACGCATAATTTTTCGCATATTTTCAGTAAAGAGCCTGAAAGTGGAGATCACGTGACGTTTATAGGCTCGAAAAAGGTGCGCAGAATTTTAATCATGACTAGAAACAAAATTTTATTGCTAACAAGCCAATAAATGATTTAAATATAAGAAATGTATTAATCATAAAAGCAAGAGCATATTCAAGACTTTCATCAAGAAATTCGTGTTCTGGGCATTTGACAATTTTATTTATTTTATAGAGTTGTGTAATTTATTCTGGGAGGAAGGAAATTCCTTAATCTAAATGAAATAGATGCGCTAGTCTCCATCCATCCATCCTTCGTACCCTCGCGACCCGATTTTAAAATTGTACTTTCGAGAAGATAACAGTTTTTTGTGCTTCAGATGGCCGACTTTCACTTCGATACAACCAAGGGTTGGATTGGGAAATTGTATTTACTACTACCACCGGAATATCGATTTTTTTACATTTTAAATTGAGTTTAATAAATCACTTTCTTGTCAAACTCTTCTTGGAAGTTCTAAAAGTATGCTATGTAGTAGGAAGGGCTGTTTCTGTAGCAGCTGAAGGAGCCTAAAAATGCTTTAAACCTAACCTCACATACATGTAACTGTGACATAGTTATTTTTATACAAGTCGACATATATTTAGGCGTTAAGCTTGCTAAGTGCATTGTAAATAGTAGGATATGACAAAGCAAATAGAAGCAAAAGGATATGTAGCAAGGCAGGTAAATACCAAAAGTAAGGCTTTAATAGCGATGATGCATACATAATGTTTGGTCTTCATTAAGGCGTAAAGAAAACAATTAAAATAGAATTCAGTTGCGTCATACGTAGAATTAAAAAACGATCAGATAATAAATGAGGAGAGAAAATGAAGAAAGTCGCATGACAGCTATTTTTTCTCTCTTCTGCAAATATCCTTGAAGAAAAGATGGATGCTATGTTGATGAGCTCATTAAGATTAGTGAGAGTGGGTAATCTTCCAGAGTTGTATTTAAGCAGCGCAAATATTTATACTGAACTTCAAAACGTGCTGACACGAATGACAAGTAAATACAGTTATACAAGCTATTTTGAATATTAAAAACTATAATAAAGGGATTTCGTGCCAGTTGTGTTGCACAAATATATATATGTATATACATATGTATTTGTATGCTTGCGCTTGTAAATAAATGCATGCAAAGATGCATATTTCCTACTCAACCATCTGTAATGTTAATTGGCGTTGAAATTATTGCTGCAATCAAGCAATTAAATGAGCGTTGCACACGCTTATAGAGTGTCATTAAGTCTTAAGGAAATAATTGTGTGTCATGCTGTACTTTCATAAACACAATAGTTCGGCCGGTTGGTGGTGAGTGAAGAATCGGCGACAGTTTCTTGTGTGCAGCGGAATTTCGTGTCACTGCACACGAAGTGGCAACAAAAGCTGTTACATTGTGTTCACAAATTACAAGGCAGATCTATAATGGTATTTTTTATGAGCTTGTGTATGCGGAAGATTGCAGGAATTGCACTACAAGTAACCTAAGTATCTGTGTATGTGCACAATTTTATGTATTTATAGGTAATTCTGATTTGAGGTTTCATTGCAGTTATGGCATTGCATCAAAAAGGCTTGCAATCATGTCAACACGTAGCTCCATTATTCGGTACAGCTACTAGTGTATAAATATTACTCATAGGCAGTGTTGACTGCACTTGTACAACTTTCCGGAAATTAGTGCTAGTTGGCATTATTCAAGGCTCATGTAATTAACGAAATATGTACATACATATATTGATTGTAAGAAAGATATTCCAAACTAATTTTGTACTCCAGGATGATGACAGATATGAAAATAAAATAGATGATGCAAATGGTATACGACTTTTTTTTTAGGTCGATGCACATTTGATTTATTGTACCATGAACAGCGTATATTAAGTTTGCAAGAGAAGTTTGTAACACCCAGAAGAATATATACTTAAATGATCAGCCAGATGAGCTGAGTAGACTTAGCGTCTGATTGTCCGTCTGTCTGTATATATACAAACTAGTCCCTCAGATTTTACCGATATCGAACCACTATAGCATATAACTGCCATACAAACTGAACAACATCAAGTACTTGTATGGGAAACTTTTTTATTCGACGAGGTATCTTCACGAAATTTGACATGAATTGTTATTTAGGGCAACAATGTAATCTGCGAAGAAAGTGTTTAGATCGGATGACTATAGCATATAGCTACCACACAAATTGAACGATCGGAATCAAGTTCTTGTAAAGAGCCTTTGTATTTGTGAAGGGTATTATAGCTCCGATGCAACCAAAATAAATGTTTTTTCTTGTTTTTATTTTTTTTATTATATACTTATTAATATTTCCTCTGGATGCCCAAAAATTAAGACTTTTTAATACATTTTAGTATAAAGAAGATAAAACGTTAATTTCGGCTGTACCGAAAGGTATTACTTTACATGTATTTTATATGTTAGCAACTAAATGTACTAAATGTCTGAAATCTGGTCAACGGAAAACATTTCGCTAGTTCTTTCTAGGACAAAGTATCTTATGAAGCTCAGAACAATTTCTTCGAAGATTGTACCCTTGCCTTGCACGAAAATTCGTGTTCCATTTCGTGAAGTATGTATCTTGTGAAATAAATAAATGTTTCCATACAAAAACTTGAAATTGATCGATTAGTTTGTATGACAGTTAAGCTCTTTAGTGATTCGATATTGGCTGTTCTGAAAAGTGATCTACTTTTTGGGTAGACAGACAGACATAGCTAAATCGCCTCAGCTCGGCACGCTGATCATTTATATATATACTTTAAAGGTTCTCCGACATTTCTCTCAATCATTGAGAAATAAATATTCTTCAACACTAGTTCCACAAAGGTATATCTTTGTGAATTTTTAAAAATTTTCTTATCCTTGTTACTTCCAATATTAATCACCATGAACACGGCACACAATTTTTTTCTGCCCGTTCCAGTTACATAGACCCGAATGTCGTGGGAATGGAGGGCGATACATCGTGGGTACCGATCTTCCAACTTTGCGATGTCGTTTTTATACTCTTGCAATATGTTGCTACAGAGTATTATATTTTTGTTCACCTAACGGTTGTATATATTACCCAAAACTGATCGAGAGAGATATGACGTTATATATATATAAATGATCAGGATGTCTGTTCGTCCGTCCGTCCGTCCGTTTGTGCAAGTGAAAACTTGAGCAAAAATTAAAATATCGTGATGAAACTTGCTACACATGTTCCTTGCCACTATAAGAAATTTGGTAGATGGACGTAACCACTGCCACGCCCACAAAACGCCATTAATCAAAAACCTATAAATTGCCATAACTAAGTTGCAAATTAAAATACAAAACTGTTATTTAGTACAACGAATCGTATCAGTGAGAGGCACTTGTGGTTTGAACATTTTTCAAATGCGGGTGTGGACCGTATGTATAAATGAATAAACTTTGCACAAATAGTGACTTCGAGGTATGCCAACGCAAGTTTAATCGAACAATTGTTCAAGCCACGACATGCCGAATATGGGACCCCTGTGCTTGTTGCTAACCATTTACCGGGAATAACGGTCAATCTGCGAGATATAATATTGCAATTCAGAGAAAGTTTTTTTCTGATAATAATATATGTGTTTGTCAAAAATGGCGTAAAAACTTCCCTTACCCTCACATACCTAATATAAATATTTTCGAAGTTCCGGTTTTCAAGTTTTGTCTACAGCTGAAGGTATCTGCCCGGGTTTGATTCTGGCAAGTTGCAGGAGTATAAAATGTTCGGTTACGCTCGAACTTAGCCATTTCTTACTTGTTGTAGGAGAAGGAAAAATTCGCAGCATGCAGAGTGTAAGAATTATGTGGATGCGGAAGCAAGTCGAAGTTATTTCGGTATTCTTTTCCATTTAATTGAGACAAGCAAGACTTCGATTTACAGCTCGATCGGCAACCTCTTTACACAGAGCTTTTGAAATATTCAGGAACGATAGTTCTAACACCATCATTTGATATATATTATCATTACGATCAAATTTATTTTACGATTCTTCTATAACATTTTGCAGTTTGTTTTCTGGATTATAGAATTAAATATAAAAACGCTCTTACTTAATGCAATTGGGAGTGTTTCATGAAGACCTTGCGTTGATGGTCGACTTTTTTGAGGAAAACTTGTGAAAAATAGTGAAATAAATGAGCCTAAACTTTCTTAATTTACCAAAAACTTAGATAACCTTATTGTCAGCTTGAAAATAATGAAATAATACAAGCTGTATTGAATTACTAGTTTGGGAAAGTATAAGGGAATTATAAAAGAGAGGGATTTAAGTTTAATTGTTATCGGAGAAGTTATCAGATCTTTTTTAAACCATTACTATCTCATAGTTGTTAATTATTTTTTATTTTGTTTTGCATATTTTTACTATTTTGATTTTTGTTTTGTTTTGACTTACCTTTTAGTACATCCTGGCAATGTCCATTAACCGGTGCCGAATCATCACCGCACAGGCAGCGATGCTTGTAGTCATTTGGGTCCTTAACGCAGCTGGTTTTATCTATCGTTATGCAGTCATCATGGTTGTTACACTCCTTGCCCTTAACTATTTATTTATTTATTTTTGATGGCGTTTCATAGAGACAGCGGAAACAAACAAAGAAGAAGAAAACGAATATTTTATTAATTTATTTCGATACAAATTGACAATTACATATTTGGTATTCGAGTATATGCATGTGGTTATGTTGCATAAAAAGTTTGTTTCATCAATAGTTGAAATCAGCTGCGATTTCTATTTCAAGGTTATAACCTCACAAATTCCACCTGTCACTCAATAAGAACTCAGCAATTTCATTTGATATAATTTTTAGTTTTCCTTACAAATTAGGCATTACAAGCACAAGCAGCTTACTCAGCTAATATTGTAAACAATGTTTCATCGAAATTTTAGCGCACAAATTTGTAAATATGCAAAACTAAAAAGGAATTAGCGTTAGTCACGAAGGCTTTCAGCCACTTGCAGTGGGAGAAGAAATAACAAATAAATACTCTGCCAAAAATCGCTAAGGTCTCTTATCGTTTTACGCTCTTAAAATGGTTTGAGCTACTATTTTCTCATTTCTACTTTTTTGCATATACGTGTACTTGTAATCAATAATGATTTTATTGCCCAAACTGGAACTAACTGTTTTTATTGGGTTTAAATGTGTTGAATACCTTTTTCTGGCTCATTAATATTATGTGTGTTGACAAACTCGATTTATGAAGTTGAAAAAAAAAAAATGCACTGCTTCGTTTTACTGATTTTTTGTCGAATTGTGAATGATGGTTAAGTTGGGCTTAAGATTCCAGGGCTTGTGTAGAGTTATGATCCACGAAAAACTATCTGAGTAAGTTGCGCTTTAGGCTTCGAAAAGATTACATGCTCTCATCTACATTCTCTAAAAACTAAAAATTAACCAGATGAAATTGTGAGTTTGGCCGACAAGACGTAAAGGTAGAGTAAGAGCAAGCTTCAAACTATTACCACCGGGCTAAATTTGAAATTATTGAACAAATCTTTTCTAACAATCGAGTAGAAGAATACCTAGCAAATACAAGAAGACATTGGGAGAGATAGTTAGGAAGTAGTGTGATCCAAATTATATATTCATATTGTCAAGATCAAAACAAGGTAATCCTAATTTAACAGGTATTTATAGATGGATATTGTTGTTGGTTTTATAATTAGAGTTTTTTGGTATTTACAAATATAACCAACCATTAGTTGCTACTGCTAATATACGAGTAACCATTTGCCTTTTTAGGGCTGTTAAAACGTCTAAAAATCATAATTTATGTATTTACCAGATACCAGCACTTTCCTGAATAAAACTTTCAAAGGGTTTGAATTAATTATTAATTTTTCAGAAAATATATATTTATGCTACATACAGGGTCGATCAATAGTTTGTTTATATATAAATCGGTTCAGTAATCCAGAGTGGGCGAAGGGGTTAAGAAATAAGAAAAATTAATTCAGTGCCTTGGAATCATACAGAAAACAAGAATATATTTTTATATGAGTACTAAACAGTTATTAATTAAGAGGTAACCTTTTCTGGACAGTAAGAGTCTAAATCTATTTCTACCGACTCTTCCTGAAAGGGTTCAGTACGAGTAACGTTTAAATACAACCTTGTCTCTTTTGAAATACTGAAAATTGGGAATAATAAGTCAAGTTGCTATTTATGCTAACCTTGTTTTTAACTATTTTAGAAGAGTGCCTCGGTACTGTAACAATCTCAAATTTAATATAAAAGCCAAGTAAATACAATATAATTGTTTTATATTAGCCGAAATGTACTCTTCTTCCTTTAAAAAATATTCATATTATAACTTTAATATATATATTATATATTTTCTCAGAGTTGCTAGATGGTAACAGGACCTCAAATATATATAATACTGATTAATTAGAGTTCTTTTCAAAAATTACTTAAAAGTATTACTGTAGGATTTATTAAGTAAAGTTAGAATGATCTGATTTAGACAACATTTTGCCATTTTGAGGGTAATTTTATACTGCATGGTCTCTCATAGAAACCTAAACTTATTGGCAAAAACTAATTTCCACAAGCTTCTCTTGAGACGAATTTTTCAACTCAAAATTATTCGCCATAGACAGGAACAGGTAGTAATTACTTGGTGCCAGGTCCAAATTATGAGGTGGATTCATAAGAACCTCCCAACCAAGCTTCCGAAGCTTCTGGTATTATCGTTGTGTGAATTTGGCTGTAATCGAACAGATCATAGTAGAGGATTCTCTGCCAAACCCACCAACCTACCTGATTGGCTACCGTTTGTGCCGGCTACCGTTTGTGCCGACCACTTTCGCTTGACTTATTTGTACGTTTCATGACTAGTGGTTACTGCTTAGCCGCTTCAGAAATGGATTGATTTTGTTGCGGCTCAGCAGCGATCTGGAAATTCGGATCAAAAAAAGATCAAAATTCACGAAATCGAAATTTGCGCATGATTGCTGTTTAATTGTGTGACAACTTTTTTTAGTACGATATCTTATCTTTCTAACGCCATATAACGTAACCCGATCGTGCTTATACAACGCGAAATAGAGCTTACTAAGGCCATTTATTGGTAAAATAATACGTTTTTTTTTAATAGACCATATATATATTTATTTTCATATCCTGAACGGGTATCAAGTTTGTCCAGAAGGAAACGTCGGAGACTCTATAAAATATGCATATCAATGATTAGCATAACAAGCTCAATCGATTTAGCCATGTCTGTATGTCCACCCGTCCATCTATCTGTCTGTGTATCGATCGATAATTTTGCATACGAAATTTTCTCACCAAGAAGCTACTCATTTGTTAAAACCGGAAACCGTTTTAATTTGAAAAGATATCCTTAAGAAATTTGGCATGAACAATAACCTAAAGCAATGGTGTAATGTCCGAAGAAATTGTTCAAAACGAGTCACTATAGCATATAGCTGCCATACACACTGTTCGATCAAAGTTCTTGTATGAAACCTTTTGTATTTGTGAAGGCTTTATAGCTTTGGTTCAACCAAACTTTACGTTCAAACTCTCCTTATATTGGACAATTTTGTCGAATTAATAATCTAATGTACTTTAAAGATATAGCTAACCTCCAAAACGCTTCTCTTTTATCTTATGCAAATAAAAATATAAAAATGAAAAATAAGAATTTCTACAAATGACAATCGAGTAACCTTCATCAAAGACCCTTTAAAAGCTGCGTGCACACCATTTTGCAATCCCGTTAATTGTTTTTCGAAACATCTGTAGCTCGCGCATTTCTTTGTATATCATCAGAAATACCCGTTGACAAAATTACGATATCCTCAGAGATTCACTCACACGCAGCTTTTAGCAAATCAAATCAATTGTCGCAATAAATAACTGTCAACACGCTTAAAACGCTTGCAAATCGGAGGAAACTATTCAGACACGTGCATATTTCATTTGCTTAACTCAACGGCTTATACGAGTAGATACATACATATGTATGTATGTTTTCAGACTAGAAAAAATGCAGACAATAGTTAATGAGTAATATGTCATAGAAAATATTAAGCTATATCGATATGTGTGTGTGTAGGGTATGTACATACATCTGCATCGAAATAAGTCTTTTGTATTTGTATTGAAAAAGCAAACTGAAGGCGATATCCAATTATAAGGAAATTATTAATGGATTCACATTTATACTCACACATGCATAGGTTCATAACAGATTATTAAGGTCACCAGGAAAATCTGAGTAATAGTCAACATAACTTCTAGAGGCTTTAGAAGTGATTATCTCAAAAGAAATCTATTAGATTATTGACATTTGTTTATGGTCACTTGTTTATGATATACCAGTTAATTTGACAGTTAACTAGTTTTGAGATATGTCAAAATGATAGACTTTACTTAGTTTAACGATAACCAAGGCGTTATTGTTGTATTGGAAAAAGGTTATTATTAATAACAACACTAATAATGAAAACATTACACATAGTTCATATCTTTTCCGCCAATTATTTTTGCTACCCTAATTAACAAGGACTATTATTGCATCAAAGCTGGTTTCGGTGCTAACTTAGTTATGAAAAATTTCCCATATTCAACATATTGTGAAAATGTGTAAGTTTATTGGTGCATCATTTTTAGAAACACGAACACAAGTTAGGATATTAAAAATGCAAAACTACTACAAGCTGCTCCCCTATAGCCAAACGCTTAATTCGGCCCTCTACTGCCAACAACTGGACCGCTTGAAGGCAGCACTTATCCAGAAGAGGCCATCTTTGATCAATAGAGGCCGAATTGTGTTCCATCAGGACAATGCCAGGCCACGCACGTCTTTGGTGACGCCCCAGAAACTCCGGGAGCTCGGATGGGAGTTCCTTATGCACCCACCTTATAGTCCGGACCTGGCACCAAGTGATTACCATCTTTTCCTGTCCATGGCGAACGCGCTTAATGGTGAGAAGTTGGTCTCAAGAGAGGCCTGTGAAAATTGGCTCTCCGAATTTCTTGCCAATAGGGACGCAGCCTTCTACGAGAGGGGTATAATGAAGTTGGCATCTCGTTGGCAACAAGTTTACGAACAAAATGGCGCATATTTGACTTAAATCGGACAAATGTACAGAAAGTTATCATCTTTTGAAAAATCAATAAAAAACCGAATGAACTTCTTACTTGACCTAATATATAAGGTCTAGTAAAAAGAAATCCATTGTTTTAGCATTAAATTGGAGAATTGCTTTGAATTATGAAGAACAATGATCCGATTTAAGTCATATATGTAATGTTTAGTATTTATTACTATTTTGAAGGTATTTTCATAATGTCACTCACACTGGCACAGTGGATTTTCACTAGCATCGCTTGAGACGAATTCTTTCACTAGATCATTCGCTTTATACAGAAACAGACAGTAATCATTTGTTGTCTGGTTCGGACTATAGGGCTGATGCATAAGAAACTGCCGGAGCTTCTGGCGCATTACTATCGATCTGTATGGTCTGGCGTTATATTGATGGAACACAATTCTTCTCGTATTGAAGCGTTGGCCCTGAAATGCGCTTTTCGGTATGACCATCAGCACCTTAATTGATTCTGACTTGATCTTATCAATTGTGGCAGAACGCTTTCCTTTTATTGGTTTCTTTCACGGTGGTTGAGGCATGATTACGGTTTTGTTTTTGGCCAAAAAATCACGAATAAGCATTGATGTGTAATTTGGTGCAGAATTCACGATTTGTTTTTACACAATTCCGACCGTTTGAGCCGTATTGCTTCACGCCAAACGTTGCATAATTTCCTTGTAGTATTCCTTATTAACTGTACGACCTTTTGGCAGGAACTCATGATGCGTCACACTATTGTAATCAAAGAAAACAGTGAGCAAAATCTTCACATTTGATCGAACTTGGCATGCCTTTTCAAGTTTTGGCTCATCTGGCAGCTTTCATTGGGATGATTAAGCCTTGGTTTCGACGTTATAACCATATACTCACGTTTCGTCACCAGTTATGACCCGTTTAAGTAAACTCGGATCGTTGTTGGCGTCATTCAACAACTCCTGAGCAATACCAATGCAAAAAGTCATAAATCGAAGAAAACACATAAACTTGACTAACGTTTTCTGTAGGCAAAAAAAAAAAACTACTAACCGTAATTGGCTCATAATGCAAGCGCATGATAAACATATGTATCCGATTATAATAAAAACAAAATATCGGCAATCGAATGTACATAGCCCGGGAAACATCAAAATTCTCCTTTTCCTTTGAACACACCTCGTATCTGGAGCGCCTGTTTGCGTTTTCGCCTTTATTGAAGAAAAATTTTAAAATGTGGCGTATGCTTTCTTGCTAATGCTCATCTTTGACGCGAGCTCAAACATTACTGCGTCAAAAACAATTAAAAAACTGTCTGAGTACGAAATCTTATGATTCTAACGCCATATAAGTCTAAAGATACGACAGGTTGGGCTAAAAAAAATTGGAAACTTTCTTGACAACCACAATGACACAAATAAGGACCTAATCGGTTCAAACTACACGCCATAAAATTTGATGATTCATTATTTGACATATTATTAGAACCTGAAAATTTATATATAATATAATATTGTGTTCTTAAAATATCGGAAGATGTGTTCAATTCTTCATGATGTTATTTACAGAAATTTGTTTTAAATTGTAACAATCTGTATCTGTGGTCAACTAGAAAATCTTTTTTGCAAATTTATGCTCATCAGTTAAAGATTTAATGTACCTTATCTATATGAAACAAGTTATGCTTAAGGAAAATTAGGTTCGCCGCACAATCAATGCTATACTTCTTTAGAGATTCAAAAATTACACTATTCAGATAAAAGTGGAAAATGTTGTACATTGTCACAAATATCTTCAGCTCATAAAGGTTATAGTCAAATTGAATATTAGCAAAATTAGAGAAATTAAGCTAACTCTAACCAATAATGGTTTATATAGTGTGAAAAGGTTTGCTCTTGGCTATCAACGGGCGATCGCTATTAAAAGCATGTTTTAAAGGTTTGTGGAAAGAGAGATCATCAGTTCATTTGAATCTCTCATTACAAGCTATTGAACCGATATTTAGAAATAACAATCTTCCAAATAACAACATGAACTGTTGCGCATATATTTAGCAGAAAGTGAAATATCATATTATATGAATACCTTCCATTCCACCAAAAATGTTTAACTTAGCGTAATCGGTTACCACAACTTTGCTTTCAGAGCCAATGTATCTGTACTCATCTGTAGTAATGGTTTTTGGATTTGAAATAATTTCAATCTTCCTCACTTTTCTTCGGAGATCTTATTTGAGATAGGCTACGGGATCATTCAAAATAAACCGTTAAATAAATTAAATAAAAATCTGTAAATTTTTTTATATTTTTATTTATTTATTTACACCAACAAAAAAAGGCATTTTTCTGAATTGCCCGTAGACTTAATCTCTTAAATTGCTTTAAGAAAATGTTTGAGAAACACACTTTTATTAAATTTTTAGGAATATCATTGAATAATGTAGGCTTTTGCATATCTACTTTTATTTAGTTGAATTCAGAATTCCTTAGCTGAGCTCTAATGCAAGGGCGGGTGCCACTAAGCTATTGATGAGGAGCGCAGGTATAGTTACGCCGATCATATTACAAGTATACCTTCCATTTTGTTCATATATGTGTATTGCAGTGTACATTATATATCTTTGGAATAAATAGTCAATAGTTCTTATTAACATTCTGTGAGACTTTATTTTAGAGATATTTATATGAAAATTTCCAAAGGAGTGCCAAATAATCACTGATTGCAAACAATTATATCAGACAAATATTTCAGTCCTCATGAAACAAATTCTTCAGATGTATGGATTCGTGTGGTAATTTTTCTAAATAATTCTTCTTCAACTCAATATACCTATAAAATTATATTCAAACTTACTTATTGGTGTTGGTGTTGGCTTATCATTATTCGTCTTGCCAAAAGTTGTCAAAGCGGTCGAACTGACACCGAACAGTATAATAAAGACGCCAAAGAGCATGGTTAGGCTGCCACATTGTGTGAAACGCTTTAGAGGCTGCATTTCGGTTAAATATCTTTTTTTCAAAATCCAAACTTCGACTAAAAATCGTCACTAGTTTTTTTGCGTAAATTAGTTCAATATAAAAAGTGTTTCTGCTCTTTTTCGGCTTCTATTAGGTAATCACACACAGACGTAGAAACAATTCGCTTAGTTTTATGCAAATAACAAAAGTTTTTGTTACTGTTTCTTTAGTTACGCCGCACTTAATGAACGACCACTTCCGTTGTGTTGTTGTGGAACCGTTGGCTGGCGCGAAAAATTGGTCAGCAGAGTATCGCTTATCGGATATGAGCGTGAGTGGAGTTTCGCCTATGCGTTGGTGTACGAAACGCAATAATATATTTATTTTAATTATCAATTAATTATTTTCGTATAGATTAAACTTTTTCATAAGTGTTTCTATAATTTTTTTTGGAGTTTTAATGTTTTAAAAATATTTTTTTCTAAACATAAAAAGTTTTCTAACGTTTCAAGTTCAATCGGCGCTCAAGTCTAGCATAGAGCTCGAGTTACGCAATATGCACTCAATACTGTTGATTATAATTAAAAATATTTGTAGGTTTACACTTTTTTTCAAGACTCTCTTCATTAACGGTAGCTTCAAAAATCTGTTGATTCCAAAAAGTTTTTTTTTGCTTTGACTTCACTTAGCTGAGACTCGATTTTAATTGCTTCTTGTCGGCTGAACGTTCTGATTGCAAGTGAATATTTTTGCAGTCAACTCCAAGTTTAAGTTCGGTTTGCTTTTGCAGCCTATCGCCTCACTGCCTCACCATCTCCACCTCGCTGCCTCTCTCTGTCAGAATTCACCTGCTCGCAGTGTAGTACTTGACACGCCAACCAACGCATCGAGGCGAGGATTGTAGTGCCTCACAAACAAACGCATACACACATACATACTTATATTTGCATCAAATACACTCATAGATGTAATATATCTTGGCAAATACGTATGTATTTATATGTGCAGGCAGTTGGACAAAAAGGGGTCACATGTGAGGCGCATGACTCCCTCCTGTAGTATGGTGGCAGCAGCGCGAGTAAATCGGCTATAAATCGTGTTCATAAGAAATTATTTGAGCGCAAGAAAGTGAAAGATTTGCCATTTTTTTTACCTTTTCACTTATTTTCGTATGCCTACCAAACTTTGTTTTGATTTTCTGTTGATATTACCTGTACCACATGTTAGAGTGTGTATATACGGGTACAGTTGGGCATGTCAGTGAAGTTTTGAATTTAGTGTATTAATTTTGACAGAAAAACACTTTAGGTATCTATGTTCTAGTATATAGGTATATAGTCATTCTAGTCTTAAGCCACTCCTGAATGATTCATCGGCTGTAGGAGAAAAAAACTCAGGGAGATGTTGAAATTTTCATTCAATGTCGTCTAATACAAGGTTATACCAGCCTTAAGCCACCTCCGAACGAGAAGATTTTTTCTTTGAGAACTGCCATTGTCTACCGAAAAGTTACTCTTCAATGTTTCTATCTTGGTTGGAAAGTGGAATTTCTATAAGGGTGGTGGTTTTCACTCTTACTTTCTTTCCAAATAATAGAGAAACCCTTAGGCTTGTCGAATATACAAGCTCTTCATGTCATATTAATGTCAAATATGAAAAAAATTTGACTATGTACATTTAAAATTTTTCTTCGTTGAAAGCGATGGTTTTTTACTATAAGGGGTTAAATTGCAATTCCGAAAAACGCGCTATTTTGTGATCTTTTCTTTAAGATGCATTTTATTTAATAAATAAATAAAAAATGAGCATTTAAAAAAATTTTATGTACATACTTAAATGATAGGCGATTCATTTTTAAAAATTTTGGAGTTACTTGGATTTCACAAACTATTGATTTTTAACAAAATGGTGGAAAAAAATCGAAATTAATGTCAACATTTTATTTCCTCGATTATTATCTGATAAATACAAGTATATCTAAAAAGATTGTTTTGAAAATTTCGAGCCGATCGGTCCAGCCGTTGCGCGGAAATTTTTCTCGCCATATTCGCAAATATATAGTATGTATGTACATTCGATATATGTAAATATCAAATGTACATATATGCAAAAAAAAATTTTTTTTTGGAAATACACAAGGGGATGTAATCGCTGTCTGTAATATAGATGTGTATGTTATATATTTCCTGACTATTTTATAGTGCATTCGTTATAATATTTGATCTCATGTTTATCAATAATTGGGGGAAGCATTCATCTTGATGAGAGTTCTAGAGGAAAATCCCATATTCTCGTATGAAGAATACCAAAAAGGGGGCTTTTGCACCTACAGTGTTCCATTCAAGTTTAATATTTATAAGACATATAAGCGAAATTTCGCGGACTTAACAAACTACCCTTGCGTCTTGCACTTAGCTGCTTTGCTGTGCTCATTTGTTGCCATTAGCAGTACCGTTAAAATTACTGTATTCGTATTGGTGTCGTCTAGGCGTATGATTACCATGTATTCGTAGCTTCATGCCACACGACCTCGTCCTCGTACTGTGTAACGATTTGCATACGCGTCGAAGAAAACCCGAAATCGAGTGAGCTGGCCGCCCATGGTAATGATGATAATGGCGATGATGACGACGTTGTCGGCAATGACGAAAGGCATAAGGCGAAGGCGAAAGGTGAAAGTGGCCTCCATAATGTTGAGCCCAACGAGCGAGCTTAGCGCTCTTAGCAGCTGAGCGATTTGGCTAACAAAGCTCCAGTTTATGCTAGAGTTGTGGCCAAAAGTAACTAACTTCGCTTATGTAGCTGTGCGTGACCGTATATACACGCATACATACATATATGGTATATGTAAATGTAAATATATACACATAGTATGCTCATATAGCGGTACAAATTTGTTGAAAGTAAAAGTAACAATCGCCAACAGCGAGCAGGTTCACGAATATCGCCTAATGCGAATGTTTTACAACACCAAAACACGGCACTACATGCCAAAATAATGAAAGAAATAATATTGAAGGAAGCGAATGGGCACGCCTACTCCTTGCATGCGGGTATTTGCGGTACTTGTATATGTGTGTGTGTGCGTGTGTATTTATTTTGCCAAAAATACTTATAGTTCCAATTCTGCACCTAACGGTTATTACACTCGAGCTTCGATAGGATGTTGCGTACTCACATATACACATATATTCGTAAATAAATATATATGTCATACTTACAATTTTTGATCACTCGTGTATGACTATTTAATATTTCTTGCTGCTGGAAAGCTTCTTTAGTAGCCATTTGCACACACACACACAGTTGTAAGTGATTTTGTATTTGCACGTGTATATGCAAATACTTAAGCGAAACTAACTAAAATTTCTAGTTGTAAAAACTCGTCAGAATTACATAGAGTTAGTCTAATCAGAGCTATTTCCTTCGAATGTCGGTAATGTGGCATTAATCATAGTAATTTCGAAACTATTGTAGTTTGTGAAGTTTACCATTGTTGCTTGTTTTCAAACAATATGTACCGATAATACTTTGGCGTATGTTCACATATTCAATTATGGTCAAGTTCTTCCCAAACACACGGTGTTTGTACCCCGAAGCAGTTTGTAACACCCAGAAGGAAACGTCAGGATATCTTCAGGAAATTTGGCATGCATTATTACGAAAAACAACGGAATAATCTCCGAAGAAATTCTTCAGAGCATACCACTATAGTATATAGCTGCCATACTAACTGCATGATCGTAATAAAGCTCTTGTATGAACAATTTTTTTTTTGTGAAGGGTATTATAACATCGGTGCAGCCGAAGTAAACGTTTTTTTTGTTTCGACTATGTTGATAAAGGAGGCTTAAATGTTGGATCACATGTTTACATGTAGTATTTTTACTCAATTAAAATGTTAAGATCAAGAGAGCGTGGTCTCGTGTTCGAATGGATATAATAGGCCAATCTGTTGTGCTATTAGAAGTATTTGCGCAAAACTTGGTGAGAATTTTCAACTCTCGATATAAAATTTGGGACACAAAGTATTCAAAAGGAAGTTTAAGTTAGGTAAGGTAATAAAGTAGATTCTCGAAGCAGAATATTTTATTTAACAATAACGGACAGCTATATATACCCCTATAATAATGAAGGTGAGCACTTTCAAATTAAGCCCAGTCTAACAAAAAAAATTATCGGTTTCCAAGAGGCTTCTGAGCCAATACAAGCAAGCCAAGGCTAAATAAAATTTTCCATACACTTGTATGAACCTCGGCTGAGATATCCTTCAATGCCTTCAGCGAATTTAAAATTTTTCGGGTTCGCGTTTGATGAATAAGAGTCCTCAGCTATATTGCCAAGCATCACTTTTGCGACCGCTACTCGACGTCATTTTTGCAAAAGATTCAGGTCTTTTGGCAGGAGTTCAGCATTGACGCGCTTTATGTCATTCATTAAGAAATCTTATTCAGTTCTTTTAAAAATTCTTTTCTACTTCACCAAACCAATTTCGAAACTTTACAAATTTAAGTCTAGGTTTGCAAAATATTTTGTCTGAAATGGGTGAAAGCAAAGAATTAGCTTAGTTTATGCTCTGATGTTCAGTTACCCCCGGAAAATTTTCTTTACTCAGTTGTTTCTGGCTTTCTTAAGGTAAAGCCATAGAAAATTCAATCGTAGGCATATGTGAGATACAGTTGTGTGATGCTCCACCCCTCTTTTCTTCGGCAACTAACTACCTCTTCTAAAGCCAAATTTAAATTATAGAAATTTTAATGTGTTGACAAGATGCCTGTATTGCTGCACTCTTGATAATTCATAGTATCAAGCTAATTATTTAGATACATACATACAAGGAGCGTTCCAAAGTAAACAGGACTTTAAAAAAAAAGACAGAACAAATGGTTTTATCGGCGAAATCAATTAATTTTATTCAAAATAGTCTCCTTCTGCTTTAATACAGCTTTCTGCTGCACGGTCTAAAAGCATGTCGAACGAGTGTTTTAGCTCGTTGCCTGGTATGCTCGCCAGTATGCCGGTGCAAGCCTTTTGAACGGCCTCCACGTCTGCATAACGCTTTCCTTTCACCGGCAAATGCATTTTTCCGAAAAGGTAGAAGTCGCACGGTACCATATCAGGTGAATACGGGGAGTGGTTGATTGTTAAAATGTGATTTTTGGTCAAATTATCGACCACAAGCGTCGATCGATGAGACGGCGCATTATCGTGCAACAAACGCCAACTTCCATCTTCGCGATATTCGGGCCGAACGAGTCGAATACGGCGCACCAAACGCTTCAAAACTCCAAGGTAGAATACCGCATTAACGTTTTGGCCGGGTGGAACAAATTCTTTGTGTCTTGAATTTTTTACTGGAAGTTGATAAAGGATAGCAGATTATAACGCACTAGTCGACATATAGATGGCGCCACTAGAGTTTACTTTGTTACTTTTTTACTGTTTACTTTGGAACGCACCTTGTAAGTGTATATTGCAGAATAATATTATGCTTATGGTATATAGAACTGAAAGTAAAGAGCAATCAAATAAGACCGCAAAATTCCTGAAAATCATTTTAAGAAGAAAGGCAAACTTCTAATGATTGATGCCAAATTGAACGCCTTTGTAAGTTTGGATTGCAATATGCATATTGAAGTGCAACAAAGTTGCGAAGTTAAATTAATACTAGTGATAATAACACAGCTTTCGAGATGTGTTCAGAAAATAACGGGAATTCTAAAATTTAAATTTCGCAGGTTTGTCATTCGCCAATTGTAAATTTTTTTTATTATGTTGATGTACATGCCCCTGAAGTACGATACAATTTTCAGCTATATTCATAACTTACTTTGTTTGTAGTAGCCGCTGAGGTTAGAGGTGTTTTTATAGGCTATATTATATATACATATATATCGTTTTTGTTTGTGAACTCTTTATAAAAAACAATACTGAAACGATTTATGTATACAAATGAGTAAATATTATTTTCAAAAAACGAAAATTCCGGTTAGTTTTTGTACAGACCTCGTACATTGTTTATGAATAGAGTCTCCACATCTGACCCATTGCAATTCATACTACTTTCATCCAATTCAGGAAAATATCTATGGTGTGTTGAATTAACACTAACTTGAGAAGTTACAAATTAATTAGCATATTTCAAATAATAAATTTTAGCTCAGAGTATAATCACCTTTTCTTGTTCAATCCACTATAGTCCGCGTACTTCGAGCTTAATATCTGATGTATGAAATAGACATCTCCAACAAGCTGAGGCGGACGAAAACATTATAATTATTTTGGATGACTGTGAAATTATCAAAGGAAATGCCCCAATGACTTTTTCGAATTCTTATATCTCAATAGAATTCCAATATATTGTCTAGTCTAGCCTAGTGTAAACTGGGGTCAAACTTCTGTAGAGTGCAGTGCGCTTGTCTAACCACTCAATGGCCATAGGCCGAGTTTTTTCTCCAATTCCTAGTATGGGTTTGGTAGCTTTGAGTCGTTTTCGAAAATCGTTTAGAGAATGGAATAAAGTTCTTAAGTTTGCTGAACCGAAATACAGACTTCCTTTCAAGTTTAAATGAGGATTTTATATTAATGTTAAACATTTGGTTCATATTTTTAATACACATAACTGTGCGAATATTATTGGTTTGCTGTTAATAGCCTAAATTCTGCTTTAATTTTAATTTTGTAATATTCTTTGTTTCTTAGTAGAAGGTTGTAAACAAGAGCAATTTGAAAAATATTATTCGAATCTTAGAGGTTTACGAGTTTGCCAAGAATTTCAACAACAAACTTCTTTTCAAGTCAAGTGTCGACACTTTTTAAGACCACCGATCTTTTTGTGAACCCTTTTAATAATTCCGAATTCGATTCCAACACCCACATAGATCGAAAGTAAAGCTCAAAAGTGTTACTGAGTTCAAACGATAGAACGATTTACTATACAAAATTTGTCAATTTGATCTTCAAGATTTGGTAAGTCACACCGTTTACAATGAAATTTAGTAACAGCCAACGACGGCGCTTAGCACAGTTGGAGTTTCCGAAGAAACTACTATAAATGACCGCTAGTAAAGCGTTACTGCTATTTTTAGCCGCAAGAAAACAATAAAAAATTGCTGTCCGCCACATTCGGACAATGCCACCTGGCAACACAGACAGTGCACATTCATCACATTCATCACAGACATTTTATTTAGTTTACGTATGTAAGCAGATAGTTAGGTGTCTGTGTGTATTGTTGGCAAAACTCTACACTACACTAATCCCAACTATTTCGGCTGTCTCATGTGAGGGCACTCTGCACTGCGAAGGGGAGGTGAAGTTGGCGGAGTGTGCGTGCGTGGCTAATGTCAGTGGTAATGATGGTGGCAATCGTAGTGGCAATACCGTTATTGATGGTAATGGTGCGCAATTGGCTTGCCGAAACCAAACAAAAAATAATAGCAAAAAAACTTTCGTGCCGGAATTCGCGATGGTCATGTGACCGGTTCGACACAGTGCTGGACGCATTTGCATAAAACAAATTGTTCGTACGCACACCATTTAACAATAAATATAAATTGAGTCAACCGAACTAGTTTGGAAATATCTAGGAATAGTAAGTATATATGTATATGTGTGTGTTTTTGGTTCATCGCTGCAGTCAAATTAAGATTGAAAAGCGTGTCAGCTCGTA